GATGGTGTGGTCGGCTGACTAATGATCCCCCCAAAAAGATGTCCATGTCCTAATCCCTGGAACCTGTGAAGGTTACCTTATATGGCAAAATATAGTTTGCATATGTGATTTAATTAAGGATTTTGAGACAGGGGAGCAGCGCCTGGGTAGCTCAGTCAGTTGAGCAATTGAGCGTCAGACTTTAGTTTGGGTCATGATCTTGCAGTTCACAAGTTTGGGCCCCGCATCAGGCTCTGCACTGACAGCTCAGGGTCTGGAACCTGCTTTGGATTCTGTGTCTTTCCCTCTCTCTCTCGCCCCGTCCCCTCCATCCTGCTTGCACTCTGTCTTCTTCTCAAAAATAAATAAATATTTTTAAAAAGGATTTTGAGGGGCACCTGGGTGGCTCAGTCGGTTAAGCGTCCAACTTCGGCTCAGGTCATGATCTCACGGTTTGTGGGTTTGAGCCCCGCATCGGGCTCTGTGCTGACAGCCAGCTCAGAGCCTGGAGCCTGTTTCAGATTCTGTGTCTCCCTCTCTCTCTGACCCTCCCCTGCTCACACTGTTTCTCTCTCTCTCAGAAAAAAAAAATTAAAATAAAAAGGATTTTGAGACGGGGAGATTATCTTGGATTATCTGAATGGAACCTGATTGTAATCACAAGTGTTCTTATGCATGGAAGGCAGAGGCAGATTTGACAGAAAAAGAAAAGGTGATGCAATGTGACATGGCCACAAGCAAAAGAATGCAGGCAGCCACCAGAAGCTGGAAGAGACAACAAAAAGATTCTCTTCTAAGGTCTGCAGAGAGAGTCCAGCTTTTCAGACACCTTGATTTTGGCTGTGTGAAATTGACTTTGAACTTTCGGCCCCCAGAACTGTGAAAGAATAGATTTCTTATACTTTTAAACATTTTTAAAATATTTTTTGAGAGAAAGAGAGAGAGTACGCAGGGTAGGGCCAGAGAGAGAGAGGAAGAAACAGAATCTGAAGCAGGCTCCAGGCTCTGAGCTGTCATCACGGAGCCTGACACGGGGCTCAAGCTCAGGAACCAAATCGTGAGATCATGACCTGAGCCCAAATCGGATGCTTAACTGACTGAGCCACCCCAGGCGCCCCCTAGATTTCTTATATTTTAAGCCATCAGGTTTGTTGTAATTAGTTAAAGTAGCCACAGGAATCTAACACAGATTTTGGTACTTGGATGTAGGATGCTGCTTTGTCTTAGTCTCCTTGGGCCACTATAACAGAATACCACAGACTGGTTGCATTAAACAACAGAAATGTATTTTTCCACAGATCAGGAGGCTAGAAGTCCAAGATCAAGGTGCCATATGGATTGGTTCCTGATGAGGACTGTCTGCCTCACTTGCAGATCTAGGTGCTTCTTGTGTCCTCACATGGCCTGTCCTTTATGCATGCCCTCCTGGTGTCTCTTCCTCTTCTCATAAGGACACCAACCCTATTGGATTAAGGCCCCCTTTATGACCTCATTTAACCTTACGTCTGTAAAGGTCCTATTTCCAAATATAGTCACGTTGGGGGTTATGGCTTCAACATATGAATGGGGAGCGTGCCAATTCAGTCCATAACATGTTGTAACAAATACCTAAAAAATGTTGAAGTGGCTTTGGAATTGGGTCATGTGTAGAGGCTGGAACTGGATCAAGTTTGAGGTATATGATAGAAAAATCCTGGACTGCCTCAGAGATTGTTGGTAGAAATATGAACATTCAAAGCACTGCTGGTGAAGGTTCAGAAGGAATTGAGGAGCACAGTAGAGAAAGCTTACACTGTATTTTTTTTTAAGTTTATTTATTTATTTTGAGAGAGAGAGCACAAGCAGGGGAGGGGCAGAGAGAGAAGGGAGAGAGAAAGAATCCCAAGCAGACTCCACACTGTCAGCGTGGAACCTGACACAGGTTTTGAACCCAGGAATCATGAGATTGTGACCCGAGGTGAAACCAAGAGTCAGACGCTTAACCAACTGAGCTACCCAGGTGTCCCGAAACTTACATTGTCTTAAGAATACATATATGATGGGGCACCTGGGCGGCTCAGTCAGTTAGGCGTCTGACTCTTGATCTCAGTTCAGGTCTTGGTATCAGGGTCATGAGTTCAAGCCCTGTGTTGGGCTCCATGCTGGGCATAAAGCTTACCTAAAAAGAGAGAATATATATATAATCGTAAACATAATATTGGTAGAAATATGAATGTTAAAGATGCTACTGGTGAGGGCTCAGAGGGAAATCAACATATTATTGGAAATTGGGGAAAAGGAGATCCTTATTATATAGAAGCAGAAAGCAGAGTTGAATTGTGTCCTACTGCTGTGTGAAAAACAGAGCTTGTAAGTGATGGACTTGGATATTTGTTTATTTAAAAAATGTTTTTAATGTTTTATTTATTTCTGAGAGAGAGAGAGTGAGCAGGTGAGGGTCGGAGAGAGAGGGAGATACAGAATCTGAAGCAGGCTCCAGGCTCTGAGCTGTCAGCACAGAGCCCAACGAGGGGCTCGAACCCACGAACCATGAGATCATGACCTGAGCTGAAGTCGGACGCTTAACCGCCTGAGCCATCCAGGCGCCCCGGACTTGGATATTTAGCTGAGGAGATATTCAAGGGAAGAGATCGAGGTACACCTGGAGGTACTGCAGTTTCTTCCTGCTGCTTTTAGTAAGATGTGAAAGAGATAAATTGAGAGAAGAACTGCTAAGCAAAATGAATCCAGGATTTGGAAAATTCTCAGGCTGTCCAGATTGCAGAAGACACAAAATTTAGATTTGCTGTCAGGAAAGTATGCTATGGAGAGAGCCAAAGGTGTGTGGCTGGACAGCCTTTTGCTAGTACTAAAGAGATTAGGTGTGTGCCTCATGGACCCTCTCAACCATTTCAGCAGAAGTCAGGAATTGAGATGGGATTATCCAGGAAAGATCTGTAGAGGACCCTCTTGTCTAATGGTGTGAATCCCTATGACTTCCATGGAAAACCCACAGTTTTGAAAATGAATGTTATACTGCCAGAAACACTACCTGATGGGCTTGAAGAAACAGAAATAGGATGAAATGAAAGAAGGACGTTGGGCTCCCAAAATTCTGCTAGAAAGATCCAGCATAAAACTACTCAGCACAAACATGTGCTACCCTTCAAAAGAAAGGAAGAATGACTTTGTGAGCAGAGCTGTGGGCCCAGAGGTGAAATCTCAAGCCATAGAGAATTATTCCCAGGCCTTGAAACCTAATGGAACTTGCCTTGCTGCATTTCAAAATTACTTGGGTCCAGTGACCCCTTTTTTCCTTTCATTTTTCCCCTTTTAGAATAGGAATGTCTGTAACTCTTATTCCCACCATTGTGTTTTGGGAACAGACAACTTGTTTTCTAGTTTCACAGTTCCAGAGATGGAGAGGAATGTTGCCTCAGGTTGGATCCTACCCAGAGTCTCACTTATACCTGATTTAGATGATGAAATTTGGAACCTTTGAGCTGATTAAATTAAGGTGAATTTTTGAAGTTGAGTTGACGCTGTACTGGTTGAAACTTTGGGGGGTATTGGGATGAAGTACATGTGTTTTGCATGTGGGGTAGATGTATAACTTTGGGGAGCAAAGGGTGAATTATGCCCCCCAAAAGATATGCACATCCTAATTCCTGGAACATGAGTGTAACTTAGATGGCAAAAAAGATAAAGAAAAATGATTTTGCAGTTATGATTAAGGTAAGGATTTTGAGATGGGGAAATTTTCCTGCATTATTAAGGGGACCCTAACTGTAATAACAAGTGATCTTATTTAATTTTTTTAAAGTCTATTTATTTATTTTGAGAGAGAGCGAGCAGGGGAGGGAGAGAGAGAATCCCAAGCAGGCTCCAGGCTGTCAGCACAGACCCCGATGTAGGGCTTGAACCCATGAACCTGAACTGAAACCGAGAGTTGGACGCTTAACTGACTGAGCTACCCAGGAGCCCCAACAAATGTCCTTATAAGAGGGAAGCAGAAGGTGATTTCACAGACAGAATGGAAAGCAATGCGACCAAGGAAGCAAAGATTGTAGTGATGTGGTTACAGGCCAAGGAATGCTGACAGCCGCTAATGTAGTAAGGTGACAGATTCTCCCCTAGAGAGGAGCATGGCCTTACTGGCACATTGATTTTGGCCTTCTGGCCCGCACAACTGTGAGAGGATATTCTTGGGTTGTAAGCCACCAGGTTTGTGGAAATTCATCACAGCGGCCACAGGAAGCTAATGCAGATGGCTTGGGGGTAGATTTGGTGGCGTTGGAAGGATTATCCTTGGAGGTTTTCAAAGACAGTTTGAGGGTATAATTAGGATCCATTGGAAAGACAAGGTTTGATATAGTGGTCATTCAAGAGTGAGTGGTTTGGAGGTATGTATAGTTTTGGGCTGCAGAGTATGCTTCGGGAGGTACATAGAGAGTGCTTTGGGGTCAATAGGAGGTGTTTGGGGTGCATATTGGGGGTAGATGGGAGGGTGATTTGAACGTGCTATTTGGAGGTTAATGGTTTCAGGGCTGATTGCAGATGGTTTAGGGGAACAAAGTTGGGGGTAGTGACAGGTAGTTTATTCATACAGTTTGGGAGTCCATGGAGGACTCCCCATAGGCCAGGAGGGTGGATTGGGGGTACTGCTTGGGATCAATGGACAATAGTTTGGGGACACATTTTGAGGGATGATGGAGGGTGGTTTGGGGACACAGAAGTTTAGACGTGTTTAGACGTGTGGTGATGGCCGATAAGAAGGCAATTTGGGGTCCTGCTTGGGGGTCCATTCGGGGGTTACTGGGGCTCCAGTCTGATTCCCGCGGGGGCGTGGCCTCGGCAGAGAGGAGCTCCACCGCCCTCGAGAAAGCGTATGCGCACGCGCTCCCAGCTGGTTCACTCCTGGCGCTCCCAGGGAAGGAAAATCGAAGACCCAAACTGGCGCCTGCGCACTTGGTCGCCGCCGCTGCTGTGGTCTCGCGCCCCGCCCCCCATCCCCCTACCTCCCCCAAGGCTCGCGCTCAGCGGCGGCGGTGTCGGTGCCGCCGGGAGCGGGCGGACCCGAGGTGAAGCTGGGGGGCCGGGGTCCACTGCCCGCGGCCGAACCGGCGCACCTCTCCCACCCTCCCCGCGCCCCCCGTGTGGCCCCCACGGCAAACAGTCGCGCGGCCAAACGCGGCCCACGGGCAGGGCGCGGAAGGGGAGTAGACGCGAGGCCGGGAACGAGCTGGGGGGCGGTGAGGGAGGGGGCGCGCCCACCACCCCTCCTGGCCTACGGCGACCCCGCCTACATCGCGGGACTGGGACCCTCGGTGAGTAACGCCCGCCTGGAGAGGAAGGGAGGAGACAGGGCGGGGTGAGGGCCCGGAAACGCCGACAGGGGCTGTACCTGCGCGCGCACCCGCGACCTCTGACCCTGTGGTCTCACTCCCGACCCCTACCTGACCTAACTACATCTTTTCTTAACCTCAAGCTCTGGCCAGTCTTGGCCCCAGAACCTCCGATCTGACCCCTGACCTAACCATACTCAGGCCTGGCGTGATCCTCAATCCCCTATTTTGTTCCCCCAAACCCAGTCCTGACCCCAAACCCCACCCATTTCTTTTCTCAGGATCCTTGGCTTGACCCTGTTCCATCCCTGAAGCTCATCTTGCCTTGTCTTATCATCTCGATTTCTTTCCTGATGCTTGATGCGTCTGTTCCTTAAACTCTTGTCCAGTCTCTGAACCTCTTGCATTCATGTCCTGTCTCCCTCACCCCAGTCTAATCCAGGTCTGTCCAGATTCCTGACGCCTGATTTCTAAACTTTCTCCCCACCTGTATTATCCTCCTGGTCCCCTCCTGACGCCCCATCTCCATCCTGGCCCACCCCCTTTAGACCATACCCTTGTTTCCTGCCCTGTCCCCTGTCTTCTCTTGTCCCATCACTGTCCTCATTCCTATCCTTCTTCGGTCCCAGTCTTTTCCTGCTCCTTACCTCCATCCTGAACCTGCCCTTTGCGTCTCCCCTCCCTTGACTGCTGCCTTGGCCTGTCCCTCATCATGTGCTCTGAATACTATTCTATACTGACCCTGCCACACTCTTTTGTTCCTTGCCGCCCCCCTACTTTTTCTCCAACCCTTGTCCTGAACCTCACTTCATCTCATCCCCTGGCCAGTGTCTTGGCTCCTTCTCTGTTCTGCCTCCTGACCTCCATCCTACAATGACTCTGATTCTGTCTTGTCCCCTACACCCCTTCCTGCCCCTCTCGCTTTCCATCCCAACCCCAGGTCCCTGTTCTACCCCTTATCGTGCCCCTCCACCCTGTTGAGAGCTCTCTTTTCCTAACACCCACTTTCCATCTCCTCTGAGCCCAGAAGAGCTGGGGTCCCGTTATACCCTGCTCCTGAACTTGGAGGTTCTGCTGTTCCCATGATCTCAAGTTCATCCCAAATGCTTGTCTCAGCAGGAGCAAGAGCAAGCAGCCTTGTGGGCCCTGTGTGGCTAAGAGGGTTTTCATGTGTGATGTCCCTCACTCCCACCCATTGATCTCACGCAAAGCTTGCATTTGTCTCCCTGTGCCGGGAGGGCATGGAACTGTTCCTATGCCCCCCACCCTCCCCGAGTGTGAAAGAACACCCTAAATTATTCAGTGACTCTGGGAGTCTGTGTGGTCTGGATCATGTTTCCAGCCTTGCTAGGTTGGGGGCTGCCCCATGTCGATCTGGGGCGGGTGGTGAACAAACATACGGGGGGGGCGGGACTCAGGAGGAGTGCGTGTGAATCTTCTGTGTCATGTTACCCCCACTTCCTAGTCTTGATCCTGTGTATGCATGATCTGGAAAAAGTCCATTCCAGGCCAGAGGCTTCAGGGCTCGGTGGGGAGGATGTTGGAAGTAGGGGTGGGAGTTTATCCCCTTCTCTCAGGTGTATGCCTCCAAATTTTGGTCCTAGGTTCATCCCACCTCTGTGGGGCAGGTGTGTGTGTGTGTGTGTGTGTGTGTGTGTGCGCGCGCTCATGTGGAGGATGTGGAGGGGGTGGTCACTGGGTGTTACAATCAGGCCTGTCCAGTAGTGACAATAACAACCACAAGAACAATATGAGGTTCTCTCTCTGAATCTCCTTGATTCTAAGGACAGGCAGGGAAAATGTGGAGAGTGAGAAGGTAACGTGTTAATTCAGTTATCTTTTGTTTCCTGCATTTGTCATATAGTAGTGAGATTTTGAATAACAAGATACTAGACCCAGCTCACGCATCTAAAACACTTATCCGGGGCACCTGGGTGGCTCAGTTGGTTAAGCATCCGACTTCGGCTCAGGTCATGATCTCATGGTTTGTGAGTTTGAGCCCCGCATTGGGCTCTGTGCTGACAGCTAGTTTGAAGCCTGCTTCGGATTCTGTGTCTCCCTCTCTCTCTGACCCTCCCCTGCTCTCGCTGTCTCTTTCTCTCAGAAATAAATAAAAACATTAAAAAAAAAGTTAACTGTTAAAAATAAATAAATAAAAGATTTTAAAAAATAAAACATTTATCCAAACCTATTAATAACAACACCAGCATCCTTCATTGTCCCGGTGTCTGTCTGGCACCTGACTTCTGAGAGGGAGGGCTCTCGGATGGTTCAGACAGTGAAAGATACCAAGTTATCTGGAGGTTTTTTGGTTTTGCATTTTATGTAGTGAATAGGGAGGTGAGGGACAAGGGCTCCAACTTAAAAATATATTCAAATCGATTCATTTCCCTGAGCTCCAGTGGCAAGAGTTGGGATAGTAAGAGTACCGTGTTGTGTGAATATATATCATTCCTGCATCTTGCCTTGTAAGGAAAGCTCACAGAGTAGTGGGTACCAGCTTTATTTCAAAGGTGCATCCAGACCCATTCAGCTACTGTATATGGATAGTGAGTGTTCAGAGAATTTATCTGAAGATGTTTGGTTCCTGCATGTTTGATCTTGAGTAGGGAGAGGTCAGATAATGAGGGGAAACAACTCTGTTTCAAATAAGCCTGGTTTGATAGGGAAGGTTCCAAGTCTGGATAGCAGGTAGGGAGGGTTTGGAGGCTGAGGGATACCACCTCTGTCTCACCAAAGGCATCTGAATACATTTAGTTCCTGATTTTGGATCATGAGAGTTTGGACAAGTTTATTTGAGGGACAACATCTCTGTTTCAAATTTATCAGATATAGTTCAAGGATACCAGCTTGGTCTCAAAAAAATATGCACACCTGCACGCGCACACACACATTTGATTGCTGAGTTTGAATTGGGAAGAATAATTGTAATTATGACAGTTGGGGCGCCTGGCTGGCTGAGTTGGTATGGTATCCGATGTTGGCTCAGGTCATGATCTAGCAGTTTGTGGGTTCAAGCCCCACATCAGGCTCTGTGCTGACAGCTCAGAGCCTGGAGCCTGCTTCGGATTCTGTCTCTCTCTGCCTCTCTCCCACTCGCACTCTGTCGTTCTCTTTCTCAAGAATAAATAAACATTTAAAAAATTTAATTATGACAGCAAACACACATCAAGCACTTCCCAAGGGCCAGTTAACTGTCCTAAGCAAGTTTTAAGTGTATTCATTCAAGTCATGGTCACAACAATCCTGTGAAGTACATACTGTTGTTCTGATCCCCATTTTACAGATGAGGACATTGAGGCACAGAGAGGATAAGTGACTTGTCCAAGCAGTTACATAGCCATAAGTGGCAGAGCAGGGTTGAATCCAAGAGCCACCACTTGCTGCCCTTACTTGAGGCCACATGAGATTCAGGTCCCGGCTAGGGTGGGGCCTAGAGGTTGGCCATCTTCCAGGCTGTTAAAAGTCGTGGACCAGAGCAACGGTGTGTGTGGATGATTCTTCCCTGACTGTCTGCCTGGCCCAAGAGGCCCAGTTACCTGCTTTCCCCTCCTTACTCCTGCACCACGCCACCTCTGCATGAGTTTATTCTTGTTGTTATCAGCGGTCATTAATGACGTGGCATGAGTTTCCTTGTACTTTGAAATGCCTTCCAGAGTGACTCTGGCCTCTGTTGGCTCTATAACCATTGTTTACCCATTTTACAGATGAGGACACCTAAGGCTTGCTATTCAGTCTGCGTTGCCAGCCAGATACCCCTGTCCCTCTCAGCTCTGGTTTTAGAACTGTGCTTTTTCCCAACATTCTTGGTGTCCCCTAAGAGGTGGGAGAAGCCACTGCTGAGAGGACACTCCCCGTCAAAACCCAGCCACCTACCTTATGGCTGCTGCCTCCACCAGCCCTAGGCAGTGAAGGAGGGAGACAAGGGGGTGGATGAAAGGGGCCTTTGTGTCCCTTGCCGGAAATCTCACCCCCAGGAAGAAAGGTGGGCAGGGTGGCAGGAGGCCTCAGTAGCCTGTGTAAGGGGCAGGGGCAGGGCGGTGCTGATACAGAGCTCCCCTCCAGGCTTGGCCCACCTGCCAAGTGGGGAGGGAGGTTTCCTCACTCTGTTCTTTCACATCACAGCATGGGCTGCTGCAGGGGCCCGGGTTGGGGTTGGGCTTGGGCCCTGAGGTCACAGAGCAGATGGTCGCAAATGGAGCACAGGATGTGTGGTATGTGCCGGGGCAGGCCAGAGCCCTCAATTTCCTTTACTCCTGGCCAGAAATGCCCAAAGGGGAGGAGTGGGGGAGAGCCAGCCTGGATGTGAAGAAGCATGAGCCCCCTCCCCACTCCTCCTCCCTTGCAGGAGTAGCCTCTGTCTGCCTCCAACCCAGGATCCGACCCCCCGAGTTCTGAGTCCACCCACTCTTATGCCTCTGTGATCAGACTCAGGCTTCTTCACCGGTCCAAGCCCCAGCTTCCCCATCGACAAGCTGGCTATGAAGAGCTGGGTCTGCGCCATCCTCCCAGGTTTGTGGAGACCAGGACGGGTGAAAACGTGTGTTTTGTTAGTTTCCTGGGATGATTTCTTCCGGAGATGCAGAAGGTGGTCGGGTCGTGAGACCCGGTCTTTCCTGGGAAAAGTTGACTTCCTCTGTCCCCAGCTTGGGAAACTGTTACCTCAGTGAGGGTAGCAGTTGTCCCAAGACCTTCTCCCACCCCAGCCTTGCCCTGGGAGGAAGGGGTAGGGGGCTCAGGCATGTGGTGCTTGCTGCCAAGAGACACACACCCGATTTACATACACCTGAGGCCTCCCATGTGCTTAACCACACCCCAGAACTCCATCCCCCAGCTCCGTCCTTGGGTGGGCAGGGTCTGACGCAGGAACCTGGGTAGTAGCACCAGCCCCACTCCCATGACCCTTAGCCCTTCTTCCTTGGTTCTCTGCTAGGTGATTGGGTAGAGCAGGGCTGTCTGGGCTTTCTTCTTGGCCATGCTGAACACCCTAAAGGGCCCTGGCCCTGAGACTGCCCCTACGGGTGTCCTGAGCCCTGGTGACAGGCAGGCAAGGGTTAAGAGGTATGGGCTGGCCCAGTCCCTGGCCAGGTAGGCTGGGCTATTGCCTAGTGGGAGGCGGCCTAGGCATCTGCCACTGGCTCACTGCTCACTGCCACTACCAGCTGGAAAAGGGCCTGGTTGAGACAACTATTTTTTCGAGGTACCTGAGGCCACCCCACAGCACCTTTCTGGCATTGGTGAGCACCTGGGAACAGCGGGCCCAGGGGCAGGGTATGGGGAGAAGGGTCTAGGGTATACTGAGGCTCCCTGCGGGAGAAAGCCAAGTCTGTGCAAGAGGTACAGCAAAGAAGGAGGGCCTGAGTGGAAGAGTGAAGCCCAAAATGTCCAATTCCCTTTGCTGGCACAAAGCTGATTCCTTGCCGGAAATGAACAAGGGGAAGGGATGGGGGAGAAGAAAAGCCAGAGTTCCCCTCTTCTCCACTGTCCCCTCTATTTCCTCTCCCCCTAACCCCATACCCCTTGGGCAGGAGCGTCTGCCCTCCTGCAACCTGGGGCCTGGCCCCCCAGGAAAGCCCAGACGGGACTGTTGAGAAACTACTTCCTGGCACCTGCCTGGCCCCAGTCTGTTCACCCAGAGTGAGGACAGAGGGGCCTGCAGGGCAGTGTGGGAAACAGTCCCAGACACTGGAGTTTGTATATGCTCCGACTGGGACAAGATATGGAAATGGGGGTCCCACTGAGGGTGTTGGGGTGCCACCCAGGTGAGGTGTCTTGGTTGTAAACAGTCATTACGGCCAGGAATTTCTTTCTCGGCTGTGGTGTCAGAAGGGCAGACCTGAAAAACCTGCTGGGCCCGCCTCTGGGTGTGTGTGTGGGGGTATCCTCTGCAGCTCTTCCGCTGCAGCCCTACCTGGGACTGGACTCAGGAGCCCGTGGCAGGGGGAGACGTTAGGAAATGAGACTGCTGGGATACCCCTTCTCACCATCTCCAGATGGGGCTAGGGGTTTTCCAGACCCCTTGGCAAAGGCGCAGAGGGCAGGCGAGTGGAGGCAGAGGTTTGGGAGCCGGGTGTGAGGGTGTGGGGTGTTGACCCTGTGTCTAGCCTACCCAGTGACCCTGTGACTCAGGCCTGAGCTATGTCCCCGAGGTCAGGCTGACAGGGTGGAGTCGGGGTTCCTGTCTGGACCCCATGTTGACTTCCAGGATGCCGTGAGCTCCCAGGGAAGGAAGGCTCAAGGCAGCCCAGCGTGGGATGTGGGGGAGGGATTAGGGGAGCCCTGGGAGAGTTCCTCAGACTCAAATGGGGGCTGGGGAAGAAGGAGCCCCAGGAGCTTAGGGGCAGGGGAGGCTGAGCTGGGACCTCAAAGAAACCCCATTGTGCTGAGCAATGTTGGACCTTGGATGCCAGGCATTTGAGTACTCTCTCCAAAGTACGTGTTGCTGCCTGGGTGTGCAAAAAGGCTTGAGAGACTGATCCCTGCCCCCGAGACTGAGGACCAAGGACCACTGTTTTGTTGAGGGTGTACAGACTCTATAGAGCCGGTAGGAGGACTGCCGAGAAACTGGTGGCACCGTATTAGCTGGTCGGCCACATCCCCCAGCATATAGATGGGGAAGGAGCTTGAAACCATACCTCCTTGGTTGCCTGGGTCTTCTCCACACCCGGCTGCCATGTCATGACAAGCTGGGGATTAGGTGGGGATGGGACATTTGTGGCTTCATGAGGCCCTCCCAGTTGCCTGCCGCTGAGGTCAGGCCAGGTGGTGGGAGGTGATGTCACCTGGCTACCCAGCTGGGGACCAAGCAGGATGTGGGAGGGAAGGAGCAAACTCCAGAGGAGGGGATGAGGGCAGGGCTGGCAGCCAGCCAAGGCAGGTTCTCCGGTCAGCCGGGGTGTCTGGGGGCAGAGAAGGAAGCAGGAGGCTTGTTATCTGCAGCTGTGGACTTTGCTGGTCACAGTCCTGACAGCGTGACTTCTCTGTTCTAGGTACAGGGCAGGTTGGGGTGGGGAGAGGGGCTGGAGGGGTCCTGGGCCTAAGGGAACACTCCCCTTCCTGCACCAGGGCTGCAAGATGGAGTTGGGACAAGTAGAGACTCACAAATCTGGGCTAGATCCTAGCTTGGCTACCTTAGCATTCTTTCGTTTATGCAACAGACATTCATTGAGCACTTGCTGCATGTTCAGAAGTGTTCCGAGTGCCAGAGATACCGATGAAAACAGGACAGATATGTTTCTTTTCTTTGCAGATATGTAAGGGAGGCTCAGGCTCTTGCTGGACAGCAGTTGTGAGGGGACATAGTATAGGGATCCACTTCTGGAATTGACATTTAAGCCCCAGAATGTGAGAACCAGGGTCCGGAGAGGCGAGACATGAAAAGAGCACTCTGGACAGCCACAGCCTGGGCAAAGGCCCTAAGGCTCGCCAGGCTGGGAGCTTGTGAGTAATTGTTGGGGTTAAAGCAGCTCCAGTGAGGGAGAGTCAGGCTGGAGGGGTGGGCCTAGGCTGCTACATCCTTAGCCATGGACGTTTTTTCTCCCCTCTGGGCCCTACTGTCTTCATCTCTAAAATGGGAGCAATAATCACAGAACTGCTATCACAGGGTGGTTGTAAAGAGTTAATGTGGCATGGAAGGTAACTGTTCCAGGCACCCAGGTGCTTAATAAATGCCCGCTGTTGTTATAGTTGGCTGAATCTGTACCCTTAACTCTTCCTCCCCAGGCAAGACTCCCGACTGTGGGCCATGGACCTCTGAGGAGGCGTCGTAAGTCCGCCCAGCTCCCCACTTGCTGTGCTCCCACTCAATGGGAAGGGAACCAAGGTACCAGGGCCAAGTGGGTTCAGACACTGACACAGATTCTGAGAGGGCAGGTCAATTAGGTGGGTGGGGTCAGGGTCCCCCTTCTTCCCGCCTGGGGTGTGGGAAGTTGGGTAGGGGCAGGAGTTGGGGGAACACAGAATATGCTTCCTTAATGGCCCCTGTGCGTCACTGCCAGGCCTTGTCCAGCCATCAGCCACGGCCTCTCGACAGCACCAGGATGGAAGTCAAAGGTCAGCTGATCAGCTCTCCCACCTTCAATGCCTCGGGTAGGTGGCTGGTTCCCCTTTTCTGCCTCTTCCCCCTGCTCTGAGTCACCAGCTGCCTACTTGGAAAGGGTTGGTCCCTGGCCCCACAGCTGTGCCAGGGTGCCCCGGCTGATCTTTGCTCTGAACTTTGCTCCTTCTGTGTCCAGCTGCCCTGTTTGGAGAGGCTGTCCCCCAGGCGAAGTCAGAGCGTCTGCGGGGGCTCGTCGACCGTCAGCGGGCCCTGCAGGAGGCCCTGAGCTTGAAGCTTCAGGAGCTCCGCAAAGTGTGTCTCCAGGAGGCGGTGAGAGCCTGGCCCTAAGAGTGTCTGGTTGGCGCAAGGGGAGGGGGGGCATGGTAAGGAGATGGGGCCACTAGGTAGGCGTTTGCTGAGCCACCTATCTGAGCTGTAGATGCCCTGTCACCCTGTAGCTTCTCAAAGCTCAGCTTAGACATCTTCGAATCAGTAAAATATGGCAGTGCACACGGCCCGCAGTTCCCTGTCGGCAATTTGAAATCCCAAACGCCTCAAAACCAATAGCTATTTCCAAAATCTGGCAGTAAAACCTGACCTGAATTGACAAGGGGTGAGTTATAGTTTTGAGTTACCCCTCTTGGTGTGAACGTCTACAAGATTTGCCAGAAATGATCGTGCGGTTCAGAGCATGCAGCTCCAGGCCCTGTGGGGGGGTGTTATGTATCATGCAGTATGTAGACTATGTTGTCTTTACAAAAAATAAGAAATCCTGGATTCCAAAGCAGGTCCCCATACCTCCCATGCCCACTGCCCCAGGGATTTGGGCCACTGAGGGGCTGAGAGTACACAGCACACGTGTCTGGTGGAGAACTGGGAAGAGGGAGAGAAGTAACAGGCATGGGGTGCTGGCCATCACTGCGCTCTTAGTAGGACTTCTGCAGCTTCAGGAGTCGTTACCGCCTCACCCCATTCCCCCAGCTAACCCTTGGTAGTCTCTGACCCCTGCCCCCACCAGGAACTGACTGGACAGCTGCCCCCTGAGTGCCCGCTGGAGCCTGGTGAACGGCCCCAGTTGGTCCGCCGGCGGCCCCCTGCAGCCCGAGCCTACCCTCCGCCGCACCCCAACCCAGGACACCACTCCTTGTGCCCTGCTGAGGTGAACAGATGGGCTTGGAGAGCAAGATGGGGGTGGGACAGGTACAGAGGAGGAGGAGCCTAGAGGAAGAAGGGCAGGGCCGGGATTGCATCCAGGGGAGGGAGAGGCTGAGGTGAGAAGGGAATGACTCGGAGGGAGGTGGGTTCTGGCTCTGAGGGAGGATGCTGGTCCCCGTCTGTGATAAGCCCCTCACCCTCAGGAAGATAAATATGTCTAGTCCCTTAATTGAGACACGCCCAGCCTGCAGAAGAAATGAGCTCCACCCCAGAATAGCTCCCCCCTCAAGTGGAGACAGGCTGTACCCACAGAGGTTTCTGTGCTCAGCCATTTCCAATGATCGGTCCTGTCCCACCCTCTCGGGTGGGCCCCACAGGAGCTGGCTCTTGAGGCCCTGGAGCGTGAGGTGTCCGTGCAGCAGCAGATTGCAGCCGCCGCCCGCCGCCTGGCCTTGGCCCCTGAGCTGAGCATCGAGCAGCGCCGGCGCCGGCGCCAGGTCCAGGCAGATGCGCTGCGGAGGCTGCATGAGCTGGAGGAACAGCTTGGGGACCTCCGTGCCCGACTTGGCCTCCCGGTGCTCCCACCACCGCAGCCCCTACCCCTGTCCACAGGGGCAGTTATCACAGCCCAAGGAGTCTGCCTGGGCACGCGCCTCGCTCAGCTCAGCCAAGGTGAGCCGGGCCCCATCACCCCCAGCCCCTGCAGTGAAAGCGGAGCGTGGGCATCGGCTGATGGACACGGTAGGGGTGGGGTGGGTAAACAGCCAGTGAAAGGTGGGAGAGATGCAGATCTTAAGGGACCTGACTTGTAAGAGGAGTTGTGTTGAACTGGCTCCGCAGCAGGGGTGGGGCTGCTGGGAACTAGACCACATGGCACCAGGAGAATGAGGAGTTGAGCCTCAGGTGGTCTTGGACTCAGGTGAAGGTGGGTTCTTGGGAAGGAACAGGGCAGGGAGGAGGTCATTGATAGGCCTGGGTCTCCCCCTTCTCACCTGCAGAGGACGTAGTTCTGCACTCCGAGAGCAGCTCCCTGTCAGAGTCTGGGGCCAGCCATGATAATGGTGAGGACCCCTGTCCCCCCCAAACCCATCCATCCTTTGACGCTCAGCCCCTCTCCTCCCTCTTCAACTCCTTCTCAGCCATGCCCCATCTTTGCATGGGGCCGCTGTCTTTCTTGCATCACCTTGTCCAGCTCGTCAGCCCCAGTTCCAGCCTCATGCCTTAGCCCCTGCCCAGGCTGCTGCCACTGCCTGTCTGTCTCCCTGGCCTGCAACCCATCTGAACCCTCTCATTGACTTCTCCTCCACTTTCTGCCTTCCTCTCAGAGGAGCCCCGTAGCTGCTTCCCTCTGGCCGAGCGCCCCTCGCCGCCCAAAGCCTGGGACCAGCTGCGGGCAGTGTCGGGGGGCAGCCCTGAGCGGCGAACCCCGTGGAAACCACCACCATCAGATCTTTATGGGGATCTGAAGAGCCGGCGGAACTCTGTGGCCAGCCCCACTAGGTGAGGGTGAGCCTCTTCCCTCCCCCAGGAGCCAGGAGCCTGGGGCTGGCAGGAGGGCCTGCTGGTGGGTATGGTCTCTAACCTGGCCCTGGCCCTGGGCCTGCCTGTCTCTCTAGCCCCACACGCTCGCTGCCCAGGAGTGCCTCCAGTTTTGAAGGGCGAAGTGTGCCTGCCACTCCTGTCCTCACCCGGGGTGCTGGCCCCCAGCTCTGCAAGTAAGGGCACTGTGATGGTGGGTTCGAGGACTAGAGGAAGGAACTGTTAGTTCTAACTAGGAGAGCATTATCAAAGGGCATGAGACGTGAGAGTCTGGGACTTTGAAAGGTACATTTTGAACAAGTCATTTCTCTGAATTTTCGCTCCTCATCTGTGAAATGGGCATAATAGCTGCCTCTGAAAGACACTGTAGGCACATTAAGTTCTGGTTAACGTGTACGGAGCACCTACTGTCTGCTGGGAATTCTTGCCTTCCAATAGGTGCTATTGCTGTTCCCATTTTATAGATGAGGAAACTGAGGCACAGAGAGGTTAAATGACTTGTTAGTAAATCGAAGACCTGGTGTTTGAACCCAGGCAAGTCTGACTGTATAGTCCGTGCTTTTAACCACTGTACCTTTCTGCTTCTTAAATACTTGCCAAGTGCCTGCTTTTCCTAGGCCATGAAGGAAACAAAGTCCCTGTCCTTATGGCACTTGCATCCTGTTAACGGTGGCTGTTGGGATGTTAGTTTTGGGTGGTTCATTTACATGGGCGGGGGACAGAGTTCAAGAAGTTGAATTCCGGACCCAAGGATCCAGACCCCATCGTGGAGGTGGTTGGGGGGCTGTGAGACACACAGTATCTGGGGTGAGGGTCACGTGTTGGGAAGAGCCCTCTGCTGGCCCTCCTTTGCTAGTACTTCCTCTTTAGCACTACTCACCCCCCAGCCACAGACATCTCCCTTGACGCTGATAGCCCCCCCATATATCTTCAGTCCCTCTGCCCCCAGCATGAGACAGAACCTTGGGTCTCTTTTGTGCAAGTTGGAGGCTCAGGAAGGGTTGGGATACTGCGCACCCTGGGCCCCATTTCTGACCCTACTTTTGTCACCCCCCACCTCTGCCTTCCCAGACCCGAAGGCCTCCATTCTCGCCAGTGGTCCGGCAGCCAGGACTCCCAGATGGGCTTCCCCCGGGCGGACCCGGCCTCCGACCGTGCCTCCCTTTTCGCAGCTCGCACCCGCCGCAGCAACAGCTCTGAGGCCCTGCTTGTGGACCGGGCGGCTGGCGGGGGAGCTGGCTCTCCGCCGGCACCTCTGGCTCCCCCTGCTGCTGGCCCCCCGGTGTGCAAGAGCAGCGAGGTGCTGTATGAGCGCCCCCAACCAACCCCTGCCTTCTCCTCCCGCACAGCCGGCCCCCCAGACCCTCCCCGGGCTGCCCGGCCTAGCTCAGCTGCCCCTGCCTCCCGAGGGGCCCCCCGGCTCCCGCCTGTGTGTGGGGACTTCCTTTTGGACTATTCCCTGGACCGGGGCCTGCCCCGCAGTGGTGGTGGGGTAGGCTGGGGGGAGCTGCTGCCTGCGGCTGAGGTCCCAGGACCCCTCTCCCGCCGGGATGGGCTCCTCACCATGCTCCCAGGTCCACCACCTGCGTATGCAGCTGACGGCAGCAGCCCCCTCCTCCGCAGCAAGGACCCCCACACCCGTGCCGCCCGCACCAAGCCCTGTGGCCTGCCCCTGGAGGCCACCGAGGGGCCAGAGGTGCATCCCAATCCTCTGCTGTGGATGCCCCCACCCACCCGTATCCCCCCAGCTGGTGAGCGCAGTGGCCATAAGAACCTTGCCCTGGAGGGGCTGCGGGACTGGTACATCCGCAACTCGGGACTGGCCGCCGGGCCCCAGCGCCGGCCTGTGCTGCCCCACATGGGCCCACAACACCCGCCCTTCCTCCATGCCCGCTGCTATGAGGTGGGCCAGGCGCTGTATGGGGCCCCCAGCCAGGCGCCGCTCCCGCACTCGAGGAGTTTCACGGCACCCCCTGTCTCCGGCAGGTATGGGGGGTGCTTTTACTGATGGGTAGGGGTCTCTGGAGGCAGATGGCAAAGGTGTCCAGGCTGGGGAGCAGCCAGTCATGGTAGCTAATGACTCGGACCACAAGAGAACTAGTTGCGGCCTCAGCACAGGACCATCGGGCTCTGCCTGACCTGCATGAGTCTGCGGGGGCTTGGTGGAGAGGGGTATCTTGGGCCCTGGCGGCAGCAGTTTTCCAGCAAGCCATAGAAGAATTCTAATATTGGAACAAAACAGTGCATGTCAGCTGAAAATGAGCCTTGAAAGCAGGGTGCTGGGAGGAAGAGCCTCCTGGGCCCCTCGTCTTTCTCTTCTTCCTTTTTGCCGTGCTCCCCCATGCTTGCGAGCCCGAACGTGCTCTCCTGTGCCTGCCTCCGCCTCTTTAACGAGCTTCTTTTCCTCTCTTTCTGTGTCTTGTTTGTCTTTTCCTCTCTCCTCTGTCTTGCCACCCTGTCTGGATTCCTGCTACCCCTTCTAAAGATACTACGCGGACTTCCTGTACGCCCCGGAGCTGAGCGCTCGTTTAAGTGACCTGACGCTAGAGGGGGAGCAGTCCTCCAATTCTGACCCCCAGACCCCGGGGACACTGGTCTGACTCCTGATATGCTCCTTGTTGGCCTGAGCACGGCTTTAGTCTGGGGAGCACACAGCTGACCTCGCTGAACCCTGGGGTGTGGTTGCTCTCAGTCCTGGGGGGTGCCGAACCTGATCTTCCAAGGTCCCTGGCTCCTTGTGGACCCACGAAGGTGTCTGACACCCTGCTTCCCCTCTCACACTGTGCTGGGAACTGGGGCCCTCAGCCAGCTTAAAAGAGGGGGGATGGTGTCACGGGGACTCCAAGCCCCTTCCTCCATTTCTGTTTACAGTTGTGACTTAGATATTCGCTGTCTTCCCCCAACACTAGACGTTTTATAAAAGGGAAACTGTGATCTCGTCCTGGTTGGGCTCATTCCTGTCCCCATGCTCAGCCTGTTCCATTCAGGAACCCCCTTCAACAAAACGGACCATAGAGGGTCTCGGGGCCCTGTTTGGGTCAGCCAGGAGACTCTGGTGTGACCAGACCCCCTGCCACCCCTCACCAGGGCAGTTCTCGGGGAGGTGGGCTCTCTGCCTGCATTTGGAAAGACTGAAGTCTGGGTAGGGGGCTTGGGTTCATTTCCTACCCCCAGGGCTGCCCGAAGGAGCCCCAGTCCCTGTCTGCCTGTCTGTGCCCGCTGCCTCTGCCCACAAGATGAGATGGCCCAGCCTCTGTTGGCAGTCTCTGCCCTGTCTATCCCTGGTCAGGAAGCCCTGCAGGAGGGGCCAGAGGGCAGAGCCATCAGGTGTGTTGTGTCCTGGGATGCTGCGGTGGTGGAACCCGGCATCTGGTAGATGCCAGTAAAATCCTCAGGTGACGTCTGGCCAGAGGCTACGTCACGTCTTCCTTGGCTTTCTTTCCATCCACCACTTTTTAAATCTATACAAGCTGTGTTTTCTATGATACCTATCTATGACTTTCTGGAGCTGGGGGTCCCCCTACCTCCTTTACCTGGTGTTAAACTTTTCTTTTTCTACCAATGGATCTGGGCCCAAGACACTATCCACACTGGAAGGGGATTTCTATAATAAATGTGTAAACTGAACCTATGTCTTACTCCTCTGTCTGCCTTGCCTTGGGGGCCCACACCTATAGTTAAGACCAGATAATATATTTTTATGACTCCATGTGATAAGAAGTAGAACACTGGAAACAGCCCGTGATAATACCACCCACTTTGGCTTTTCTTGCAGTGATGTGGGGCCACATCTCTGCCCACTCAGATTGCTGGCCAGCCCTGAACAAGAGCCCTCAGTAATACAAATGATAGGAAACACCCCGCCCTTAAGTACCTTGTGTGTTAATGCCACTCCAGAGGTAACAGGTTCAAGGAAGGAACTGAGAGCTAACCCCTTCAGTCCAGTATTTGACACAAAGAGACCTAGTCAGAAAGGGTCTAGCAGTATCAAAAAGCAGAAGGCCACTTCTGGCCATTGAAATGCAGACTTTACCCAGGAGGCCCAAATTGACTTGAGAGATGCAACAGCCTTTATTGTTGCCGTAACACTGATAGAGATGCCCCATTCCGGATCGGGGCTACCCCCACCCCACCCCATCCCTTGGTCCTCATCACTGTGGGACTTTGGAGAGGGGCAGAATCACCAAGCAGATCTGGAGAGCGGCAAATGGGACTGGAGAGGGTTCAGGTGACCTGGAAGTAAGGGTTCAACATTCAACTGGGTCAAGATGCCTGAATCCTCTGTCCTGATGGGGGCTGGGAACACTTGGTCCTGGGTTCAAGATTTGACAATGCCCTGATCTGGGTTCAAAGCTGGGTGGGGTCTGGAAAAGTCTTAGTCCAGGGTTCAAGAAAATGCCTTGGGCCCAGATCCCAGCTTTGGGGCTGAGCGTGGGAGACGGGTGGGTCCCAGACTGGAGGTGGGGGAGTATCTCTGGGTCCAGAGTTTGAGGGTGGCAGTGGATGCTCTGCTATCCAAGCCCCAAGTTCTGGGCTGAGAAAGAGTCTGGTCCCCTAGGTCATGGGGGCTGGGTAGGGGGAGGGTGGCAGATGTCCTGCTTTCTGAACTGGACTGAGCCCTCTATTTCAAGGGCTTGGAAAGGGCTCTGGGTCCCGGTACAGGGCCAGGGTGGGGGTGGCATTCTCCAGGTCTTGGGTACAGACCCCAGACCCCTAGGATCCAGCTTCCTGCTCTTGTCCCAGCGCCTCCAGTAGCAGCCCCATTGGCGTCCGCTTGAGACCAATACTCTCAATCTTGTTCTCAATCTTGTTCTTGAGGTTCCGCAGGCGCAGTGAGGCGTGCACCAGAATCACTGTGGGCAGTGCCGAGAGGAGTGGGGTCAGTGGGGTGAGACATCAGCTTTTAGCCAATGGGGGCACCACGGAGGGGAATTGGAGCACAGGCAGGCCAACAGAGTGGTCAGCGGCCAGAATGCCTCTGATCAGAAAGTGTGGCCAAATAGAGTTTTGCAGCAGGGCCGTGGCCAGGGAGCGCGCACGATAACTGGGACGTGGCTGGTGGAAGACACTTAATACCAACAGGGAGGCCAGAAAAGGCGGTAGTTAAGAAGGGCGTTCCCAGAAGAGGGAAGGCAACGCCTGGGAAGGCTCTTTGTAAAGGGGGTGTGGCCACGAGCCCGCCTGGTTTCCCAGCCCCTTCTCAGGGCAGGGCAGGGTTGTAGTGTGCGCAAGCGCTGGCCATTTTCTCGGCGGTCTCAGGGTAGTGAATACTCACGAAGCACAGGCCCGGCGACGCCTAGCAGGAAGGTGCAAGCGCTGCCCGCGGCCCAGAGAACAAGGAGGCCGAAGGCAAGCACTGCGGCCAGACAGGCGGCGGGGTGGCTGCGGCGGCAGCGGCGCACAGCTGCTTGGGTCTCCGCCGCCCACACCAGCACGCCAAGGGCCACCGTCACTACTAGCGCGCTTAGGAGGGTGTGCAGCGGGCGCACATACCTGTGAGGACAATGGAACTAAGCTAGTCCAGCAGACGGGGAGAGGGCTGCCCAACCTCCAAGCCTCCTGGACCACTGTCCATCCAATCCCGGATTCCAGGAGCTTTGGTTCCGCCCTCTCCGGCTCCTCCAGCCCGGCACCTCCCCCCCCCCGCCCCCCAGCCCCAGCCCTGTCTCCCAAAAGGTCCACCCTCCAGGACTGCGGACTCTTAAGAGCCCTGTGGACCCTCATTTCTTTGGTGTCAACCCTACAGTCCCATCTTCTTAGCTCTCCTGTTTCTGGCTCTCCCATCCTGCTAGGCCTCTGGGTTCCAACCCTGCCCCCCGTAGGGCCCGTGCCCCACCCCAACCCACCCCCAAATCCACCCTTGGAGCCTAGGCCTGTAGATTCTTCTCTCGGCCTTACGTCTCTATACATGTCCCTCTCCCCAGGCCCAGAGTCCTTACAAGACCCCCTTCCAGACTTCTTCTCCTTCAAATTCCCCATCCAGTCCCCACTTCTTACAGATCCCTCCCTCCCTCATTGCAAGAACCCTTCCAGGCTTTCCGTACCACTCTTAACTTCCAACCCTGACCAAGTTCCCCTCCGTTCTCCATCCTTCTCTGCTCTCAAGCCTTCCACCCCCGGGACCCTCCTCTTGGTTCAAGTTCCCCAAGAGGTTCCTGCTCCTGGAGCGTTCCAATCATAACCTGGCTCCCCTCCAAGCCCAGAGCCTCAAAAATTCCACTCTCCCAACCCTTCAATTTGACCACGTCCGTGTCCCTCTATCTGCCCGAAGTCCTCCAGGGCCGCCTTAATCTGGCCCCATCACTCACATCCGTCTCCCCTACCCCCACTTCCAGGTCCTCTTTTATCTTCAGATCCACCGCGATACCCAGTTTTCCCTTCAGTCCCACATTTCTCCATCCTCTCAACCCTCTATCCCCCTCAGGCCCTATCTCACCCAAGGCACTCCTTATAACCAGGTTCGACTTCCTTCAAGTCCCCCCTCCCATGCCCCGTAGGCTTTCCATTTCTAATGAACTCGCCCTTCCAGCCTGGCATCCCCCTCCCGTTCCTCAAAATCCCGCCGGTCCACCCTCCCTGCCCTGCAGGCACCCCTGGCCAACCGGCGTCTCCCTCCCTCCCTCACCCGGCTAGAGCGAGTGCGAAGCCGATGCACAGAAGGTAGTTGGTTTGGTAGTAGAGAAGGTTGTTGATGACGCGGTGGCACCATCGCTGCCGGTCGTAAGGATCCGGAGCCGCCAGACGCGCCGACCCCAGAACGAAGTCGTCCAGGGCGCGTAGCGGTGGCAGCCTCACCTCCGACATCCTGCCGGTCAAAGTAGCTGGTCCAGCCCGAAGAGCGGCCGGACTACAACCCCCGTAACACCCCGCTACACCGCGAGGGACATCGGGAAATGAAGTCTGGACTCAGCGGCCGCTACGTTTACCACCTAGGTGGATTACGCAGCGGCAGCAATGCACGTGACCGGAAATCCCAGCAACACCTCAGCTGTGAGGCAGCAAGGGCTGCCGGGAAACCAAGTCGCCGCCGCCGCCGCCGCCGGGCGGGGCGTTCCCATTCGCCCCCGGGTGGGGGCGCCCAAGCGGGGACTGTTCTGGGCTGTGCAGACGGCTCAAGTACACAGCAGTCAGACAGACATTCGAGGACACGCAGAGAGAAAAACAGGGACCATCAGAAGGACTTGGGCAGGGTGCCACGTCTTTCTGGTGGCACAAGGTCACACCTACTTGGAAACCCCTGCAGGGCCTTTCCCTGCTCCATCTCCTCCAGGCCCCACCCATTCCCCCCAGGTCCAGCCATAAATACTTCAAGGGCCTTTTATTCATATGCACATCAGAGATGTCTCTTTCTGGAAAGGTTTTTTAAATCCCCACAGGTAGAATCAGGGTACTCCCTCAGGGTCCCTAGCAGTCTTCTCCAGGCTGGGAGCCTCAGGGGGTCTGCTCCCTCCCTGGATCCCTAGTCTGGCCCTGCCGCACAGTCACCAAGAAGTGCTTGGGGGAAGTGAGCTGTTCAGGCCTTACACGGCTGAGTGGAAGGTGGGCACCAGCCCCACTAATGCTTGCTGGCTGGTAGCTTTCGCAGCACTCCTGACCCCCTGAGGGCTTTGCAATCTGCCACTGCAGGTCCCTCGCACAACCCACAGGGTCCTTAAAAGTCATCGTCATCACAGATGTCAAGGTACACATCGAAAGCCTCTCTGTTGCAGTTTCCATCAGGAGTGAAGACATATTTGTGGAAGGTCCCATCTACGCAGATAGCTGGAAGTGGGGGAGGATGGGCAAAAGGTTAGAAGCTGCAGAAGCCACACACTCCAATCCTCTCAGGTGTCCTGGGGCCTAAGGTCTACCTCGAGACCTTCGTCCTTATGCCATCCCTCTGATGGTGGAGCCGAGCCACCCGCTCTAGCTTCCATGCCTTAAAATTCCTTCAGATCCAAATTGCAGGACTTTGCCCATGCAGTGCCCCCAGTCAAGGGCTATTCCCACTCACCTATGACAGAGTTGACGTTCTTGGAAGTATTGCGACCGAAGGCGCAGATGCAGGCTGACTCGGCAGGCACGGTGAAGCTCGCCAGGCTCCACTGAGAGTCCACGTACTGCCCAATCATAGGCCCCACCTTGCCCACACGAGCCAGCCTGCAGGCAGTACTGGCTAAGCCCGGGTGTGGTACATGGGCAGGGGGACTGGGGACAGGGCAGGGCAGGGCAGGGAGTACTTACGCTGAGCGACGGTTGAGGCGGGTATCTTTGAGAGCAAAGATGTGGACCGTGCCCTTATCACTGGAAGCGCAGAGGAAGGAGGAGTCATGGCTGAAGTTGATGCTGGAAGACAGACCATCAGTGATGCCCATGTGTCATGTGACATGGGGTCACCAGCGCGCCACACATACCCCGTGCTCACCAGTAGAGAGTGGCAGGGTCAGTGCCTCGGCGCAATTCCACCAGTTTCTCCTTGGATTGCGTGTCAAAGAGGCGAATGAGAGTGCCTTTCTGAGAGGCCGAGGCCACTACAGTGCCTGGCTGGTTCAGGGACACACAGGCCACGTCACTCTGATGTGCATTGATCGTAAACGGAGCAGATGAAGTGCCAGGTTTTGTGCTTGCCAGATCCTGCAATGGAAGGAGCCGTTTGAGCTTGGGGTGCTATGGGAGGCAGGGGCCAAGCATCCACAGGGGGAGAGAGGCCACCCTCCTACCCACCTACCCTTGCCCACTGGATGGCTCACCACAAGTTGCAGACTCCCACACTTGTGCCCTGGGAACACTAGCAGTTGCTTCTCCAGGCTGGGGCAGAGGTCACAGAGCCCTAGGGTGTGAGGACAAAGTGTCGGGGTTGGGGGGAGGCAGGGACCAGGCAGGGTCTCAGAATGGACAGAAGCAGGATAAGGGCCAAGACTTTGACCTTCCATGATATGTTACCCACAGAACCCCCGGGGGGCTTGCCCTCCGCTGTGCTCCCGAGCAGCGAGGCGGATTCTCCACCTCCCGATGCAGCCGCGGCAGCCCCAGGAGCCCCACGGATCCCTGGTACAGCCAGCCATGTCCTTACTGGGTGTTTCTGCTCTGCTATCTGGGGCACCCGGGGGTGGGGCAGGGCTTCAGGTAGAGACAGAGAACTGGTTAAGGGTTGGAAAGACGGGCTGACTGGGAATATGAGCATCTGTCAGCCCATCTGAACATCTCTGCATAAAGACTCGCCCTGCCCCTCTTTCCCAGTTTCCCAGTGTGCCCCTTCCATCTTCTCGTTTCTGCCCCTCTGCCCCATCCACTGCCTCCTGCCCTCACACCTGCACATCTGGGTCCTCTCACCCTTGGGGTTGTCCCGGGTGTCAAACTCGAACAGCTTTCGGGGGTTGTCGGGGAAGGAGTACACGTAGATACGGTTCCTCAGCACGATCACGATTCTGTGGGCAACACACAACACAGGATGGCCATGAGGGGGGATGGTGGGGAGCCCATGGAGGACTAACCCTCTCGCCTACTGTGGGGACCTCCTACCTCCCCCACCCCGTCCTCCTCAGGCTCACTTGTCATGGCGCATGCGCACAGCCAGCACTGGCTTGGTGAAGGTGAACTCCAGCACCAGCTTGTCCTTGGAGTCCTTGCCCTCCCGGGCATCGTCCCAGATCAGCACTGCTGGGCAGGTGGGTGCGTTGTCGGGGCCAAGGTTTAGGGTGAGGGGCAGCCCTGGTGACACAAGACCCACCCCTACTCCCCATGGGACCTCAACCCACTTGCCTAATCTTTTGTTAACACCCAGTGTGGGCCTCATATGGCATGGGCACTTGTGGATGTGATTTCTGAGAGAATATGTTTCTAAAACTGTTATGTACTCATTTACAGGATGAAGAAACTGAGGCTTGAAGGGCTTGGGTTGAGTTTCTGGCCCAGAACCTCACTGCCCATCAGCAAACAAGCAGGGACTCACACCCAGGACTGTAACTCTCATTAGTAACTATTTCTGCCTCCAGGGTCCCAGTCTGTACCCCTAGAAGATTTCTGTGATGAATCCTAGGGCTCTGTGACTTGCGTAGGGCATCTCTTGCCATGTCCCAGTGGGATCAACAAAACCTTTACAACAAGATGGCTCCTGAGGCTCAAAGCAAGAGGGTACTGGGGAGACAGCGCCAAGATTTTATGACCTATTGGCTGTGTGACCTTGGAAAAGCCACTTAACCTCCCTGGGCCTCAGTTTCTTCATCTGTAAAAATGGGGATAACAATACTTCCTACCACATAGAGTTACTGTGAGGATTAAATGAGTTAATACATATAAAGTGCTTAGAACAGTACCAGGCTCATAGCAAGCGCTCCATAGGTAAAGACATGGCATACAGGAGGCATTCAATTAAGTGTTAAGCGAAGGCAAAACACCAAGCTTCTCAAGCGATAAGATCCATGACTTCCAAGCTGTAGGCCTCACTGTGGGGCTCTGAGGTGCTCTGACATCTTCATCTGCCAGTGCCTCGGGGTGCCTGAAGGAGGCCAGGATTCCAGGGAATCTGGGCCAAGGGCGGGATGGGATGAGGGCACTTACCTGAGATCTCTGAGAACTTGGGGCTGCTACCACCACCCACCAGGGCCAGCAGGTTGGAGCGGTGCAGCATTTCCACCAGGCCCATGCTGCCCACCTGCTCATGGTCTGGACAAGGACCAGGGTGTCAGTAGGGGACCAGGGTGTCAATGCCCAGCCCAGCCTTCTGCCCATTGCCCCTCCCCCACCAATGGCTCACCCAGATGCCCCTTCTCCATCAATGGCTCCACATTGTAGATGCGCACACCTGTCTCCATGGCGCAGCAAAAGCAGCCTGGGGTGGGGGTGGAATTTGGGCTGCCTCAAAGGATGCCAAGGTGGAAGCTATGGCCCACCTCCGACCATTCTTTCCCTCCCTCCCACCCACAAGGGTGCAGGCACAAGCCTCTCTCACTTTGGTCTTGGTTGAAACGCAGACTGGTCACTCCTCGAAGTGGCTGCTGAGTCATGGTCCAGGACTGCTTCCCTGGACACAGACGGGGGTAGGGTTGGGAAGAGTCCAGGGGTTTGCCCTCCAAGTCCTAGAACTCCTGTTCTCAGCTGATTTCTTCTTCCTCCTCCTCCTCCACCACTTACTGCCCCCAGCAGGACTGCAAAGAAAACAAAAAAAGAAAACACAGGGATAGTTCTGGAGTCTCCACTCTTATCTCCCAAGATCCCAAAGAGCATGGCCAGGAACTCCCCCATTTTCTAACACTCGGATGAGGCCAGCTCCAGCCCTACCCTGACCTGGATTCCCCATTTCCTTCTTACTCAGTGGCCCTCACTGCTTGTCAGGAAGTAATGGGGTAGAGGGTTAATGATATCTCTTCCCCACCCTCAGCCAATTCTGGCCCTAATGCCCCACATGGCCTAGAACCGCTTCTCATCTTCACACCTGGACCTAGCATCCAACTTCACCTGTTAGTAAATAGGGAAAGGGGCTAGGACATCCACTTCTGCCCGCACCTCCCTGACCTGGCCCTGAGACCTGCTATAGTTGGCCCACCATCTAAAAGTCCTCCTCTCGGCACATGTGGGGATGAGCACTGGGTGTCATATGGAAACCAACTTGACAATAAACTATTTGTGGAAAAAAAAGGGAAAAAAATACATAAAGGACCTCCTCTCCTCATGCCCTCTGAGGCTCCCAGCCTATTCCATCTCAGAGCCCTCTCACACCTCCCCTCCTCAAAGGCTTCTCAAAACCCCTTCAGGACCCCATGCCTAGCTCCAGATGACCCCTTCTCGTGCCATGCTAACTTCTGCCCAACCAGGGCCAGCCTGGATGTTCCCCGAGACCTCCTCATGCCCTAAAGACCCTGCATCAGATTCCCCTATCATTCCAAATCGCCCACCCTGGGACATTCCCTTCCATGTGCTTTGCTGTCATTTAATCCAACATAGACTGGCTCGAACCTACCCCCAGGAATCTCATCCCCCTACATTCCTCCTCCAGATTCTCTATCCTCTCCCCCAAACACCCTGCCCCAGGGCACTCCTACCCCATCAAGACTCTTTCCCTGGGCATATTTCCCAAAACCCTACCTGGAACTCAACCCCAACAAGACGCCTGTCCCGGACCCCTCTAATAGTCCTGTCCTAGAGTCCCCATGCTCCCTTAAGTCCCCACCTCCCTAAGACCTTCGCCCAAGCACATCCCTTCCCCATGCTCCAGAAGTGCAAACCTGCTTTCCCCCCTTGTACCACCTCCACTGGACCGCCTCCCTCCCCAAAGACTCATTCTTTGGACAGCCCCACCTTTTAAGATCCCTTTTTTGGACCCCCATTGCAAAGACCCGTGCCACCCAAGAACCCTTCTCTGGGATGCCTTACCTCCCTCCACTTCCTCATGTCCAAGACCGCCCTCATACTCCTCCCAACACCAACACTCACTTAAACTCCCTGTCCTAAGCACCCCCCCCACCATCCACCAAAACCTCTGCTCAAGGAGCCCTCCACCTGGACACTCCCCCAGACTCGGAGCAACTCGGGAATCATGCCCCAGTTTCCCACTGGCTGCACTGACCTGATCTCCGCGCGTCCCCGATTCCAACCCCAGCCGTCGGTGCCGCCCGCAGCCCGGTTTTCTGACCTCCCGGGCCCTGACGCCCGGCTCCGGTGTTTACATCAGGTCTCACTTCCGGGGGAGGGAGTCTGTGACCGGAAATGACTCATTCTGGGCGGAAAAGGCGGCCACAACCCTCCTCGCCCAGGTTCCAGGTTTTTGGAGCGATGCGAGCGATAGCGGCGTCCTCCGGGGAGGATGCACAAGGGCCTGTCTGAGGGAGCAGAGGAGGGTGGGCCAGAGGGAGCCTTTCCTTCGCTGAGAGGAAGAGGGCCGAGCATTTCCCAGCTCTGTCCTGCTTGGAGGGCAAGAGGCGTTAACTTTCTGGGCGAGCAAGATTTGGACCTCCGAAATGGGCTAGAGTGGCCTTCCTTGTTGGAAATACTAGTCCTCCCCGATTTCTAGAGAAGCGAGTGGGGAGGCCCGAGGCGGGGGCGGACCTGGAGACCCTGAAAGGAGAAACTCACCTTGCCTAGGGGAAGCCCGGGATGAGATTTCCTTCCATCCCCTTGCTTGGTTTTGTTTACAAAATGAAAAGTGGGTTTTTAATGGTAAGAGGTTTAAATGCTTACTGTGGAAAAAGAAACCAATTATATACATACTGGAAATATATTTTAATTCAGCTTTTAACTTTTAAGGTAGTTGTGGATTCACGTGTGGTTTTGAAAAATGATACAGAGAAACCAGATGTACTTATAATAGTTTCCTCCAAAGGTAACATATAACATAGTAAAATATTACAATCAGGTTGTTGACATTGATACAATGTACCCATCCTTTACTTTTTCTCAAGTATTGTTTTGACGCTTCTTAAATTTTTGACTAATATATAATGGATATGTTTAATTCCAACTTTAAAATTTTATTTAGTTTCTAAAAAATGTTTATTTTTGAGGGAGGCAGAGGTCGAGTCGGGGAGGGGCGGGGAGAGAGGGACACATAATCTGAAGCAGCTCTGGGTTCTCAGCACAGAGGCCAGTGCAGGGCTGGAACCCACAAATCACGAGATCATGACCTGAGCTGAGGTCAGTCGCTTACCGAATGAGCCACCCAGGCCCCCCACTCCAATTTTTTTAAATTCTGCCTTTTTAACTGATTCATGGCATTCAATGGAGTAAAGGTAGCATTGTTCAATTGTTATCTTACTGATGGCCTCTAGATTGTTTCATGTATGGTGTTCTCAACATACTGTGAATCTGGCCTCCATATACTGCCCTAGGTGTGACTCCAGCACTTAGCAAAGCTAATCTTCTGGCTTTCTTCAGCCTCCACTTCCTCATATCCCAGACCATATTTAATTTAATTTAGTTTGGGTTCTGCCACACCCATATCTCAGAGACTGCTCTTAACCAGATCGCCCATGAATAATCATCCTGTCTAACCAACAATCACTTCCCTACCCTCTCCTGTGACTGCCCAATGCAATGCATTCCACAGTTTCTTACTCTCACTCTCTTGGTTTTCTCTTACATTTCTGGCTACTCTTCCACCTTTATCCAATTTCCAAATATTAATGCATCCTGGCTCCCTTACTTTTGTAGCCAATATACTCTCCCTAGGTGACTTCATCTTGTTTCATAGCTTTAATAATTGCGAATGTTTTGGGGGTCCACTAATTTAGGCCTATAGCCTAGACCTGTTTCCTGAACACCAAACTCACATATGCTATGGCCTGTTTGACCTCTTCCTGTGGATGTCTCATAAAGTATCTCAGATTTAACCCATCCAAACAGATCAAATGTTCTTGGTTCAAACACCCTCTTGTCTCCCTCATCTCAACCAATGGGACCACAACACTCAGTTTGTCACTCAAATAACAGACATATCATGCTTGATTCTTCTCCATTGTCATTGGCAAGTTCTGTTGGTCTCCCTGTCAAAAGGTGTCAGAAATAAACCCCTCAGTCATTTACTTGCAGTCAAGATAGAGTAACAGGGACTAAATTTGCCCTCTCACAGGAAACAACTCCACCCCTCCGCCAAAAAAAGACCCAGACAAAATACATCAAACAGTGGTTTTCAAGACAGAGACATCGGGCAATGAAGGATAGTGATCCCTGAGAAATGAGAAATGAGATGAGCCACACAATTGGCCCAGCATACTGCTTGGAGAGTTTCCATACTATGGCACATGGGCACGGGAAGGGGAGACTGAGGCAGAGCCTGCTGGCATCCCTAAGTTGAAATAGGCCAGGGAGACAAGGACACTTAGAGTTCAAAGGACAGATTATCATGAGAGAGCTGCACAGGGAGAGAAGCACAGAAATCTGCAGAGGGTCCCTGTGAGTGTTCAGCAGAGTAGTAATCAGTGCATGCATATGAGAAAACTACCTAAGGCTAAGGAAAGGCCCATCCAAATGAATTAGAGGGGACAGGGCCTGGCACATAGTTAGAGAATAGTTCTTGCTCCTACAAGCTAGACTGGGAAAACTCCTAATTTGGAGGGCATAGAACACACAGGAAGGTCTTGCCTCAATGGTGATAAATAATTAGCTGTAGACTTAGTACTGCTCTGCTCGAGACCCACTTAAGTCATGAGGTAAACCCTGAAAGAGAAAACTGTTTCCAAGTAACTATATCAGCACAAAGATCAGGAAATTTTAGAGGAATAATAATAATAATAACCCAGCACCTAAAAAAGTAAAATTTACAATGTCTGTTATCCAAACAAACATGACCAGGCATAAAAGAAGCAGGAGGTACATACTGCAATATGGAAGAACCTTGAAACTAGTATGCTAGTTTCATATTGGGACCACATATTGGGTTTTTAAAAAAAGTGTTTTTATTTATTTTGAGAGAGACAGAGACACTGTGAGTTGCCATGTACCATGTTGCCAGCACAGAGCCTGATGCAGGGCTCGAACCCATGAAACTGTGAGGTCATGACCTGAGCTGAAACCAAGAGTCCAACGCTTAACTGACTGAGCCACTCAGGTGCCCTGAGGATTGCATATTGTATGATTCCATTTATGAGATATCCAGAATAGGCAAGTCCGTAGAGACAGAAAGTGGATTAGTGGTTGCTTAGGGCTGATGGCAGCAGTGTCAGGGCATAGAGGGACTTTGATTAGCAAGGAAAGGGAAATGACTGCTAGGGGGTGTGGGGTTTCCTTTGGGGGTGATGAAAATGTTCTAAAACTGATTGTGGTGATGGTTGCATAACAGTATACTAAACAAATTGTACACTTTAAATGATGAATTATGTGGTATGTGAATTATAGAAAAATACACAAAATTGGATTAATGACATCACAGAATAAACACATTTATGACTTGAAGTCATAGCAATAGAAACTAACAAAATGAAAGAGAGAAGTAAAGAACTGAAAGGAAGGAAGGAAGGAAAGAAGGAAGGAAGGAAGGAAGGAAGGAAGGAAGGAAGGAAGGAAAGAAAGAAAGAAAGAAAGAAAGAAAGAAAGAAAGAAAGAAAGAAAGAAAGAAAGAAAGAAAGAAAGAAAGAAAGAAAGAAAAAGAGAATAAATGAGCTATGTAATAATTTCAAATGGCCTAATACTCAGGGAAATAAAATCTCCAAAGGAGAGGAAGGGGGACAGAAAATGTATGTGAAGAAATAATGTCCTAAAAGTTTCCAAAATTAATGAAAATGAAAAATATAAACCCACAGATCCAAAGAATTCAATGGACTCCAGTAGAAGAAACATGGAAAATACTACACAAAGGCACATTGTAATAAAATTACTCCAAACCAACGATAACAAGTGAAATCCTTCCAGCAGCCAGAGAAAAAAGATGTATTACGTAAAGGAGAAAAAGAGAATGACATCAAATTTCTTGTCAGCAAACAAGAAGACAGTAGGGCAACATCTTTAAAAGAGGATAGCACGTTCTGAATGACAGAGTAAGGACCCCAAAATCCATTCCTCCATAAAAGTAATAAAAACACTGGCCAACAACAATAACCAAAAAAGGTCCAAATTAACTTTCTGAGAATTTTATACATCAGCCAAATACTTGAAACAATCTGAGGAGCATCCATTCAAGAAAAATGCCCGAGTCTTGGTAAGAATGAGCTTTGTGGCATTTTTTTTTTTTGCCTTATTCCTGCCCCTCTCTACCCAGCTCCATCATACCAATGAAAACCAGCAGCCTATCAGGAATAAAGGAGGAAAATGGGCTTGGAGCTCTCCTAAAAGCCACATTTCTAAAGAATTGTCATCCTTAAAAAAAATCACATGCTAGATAGGATTTTTCCAAAACAAAACATATATATTTAGTGAGAAGAGGGGCATCATTGTACATTTCTGCAAATCTCTTTAAATGTTTGGTTTAATAGAAAACAGCTAGATTCTCATATCTGCTCCTGAATTCAGTCTCTTGTTATACCACATATTTGGTGTCATCTGAAAAACTCTACTATGTACTTATGAGAGAATGAGTGTGAAAAAGGCAAATAATGTCTTAGTGTCATGAACATACTTCTGACCTCCAGACCCCTTTAAAGAGTCTCAAGGACCCCCAAGGATCCCAGACCACACTTAGAACTATTAATCAGTGCTGTTAAAACATCTGGTTATAAGGTACCAACCCATTCTCACCTCCACAATGAATGTTTTCCTCATCTTTATACTGGAGTAAATAGAGCTTGACATCATATTTGAATGAAGATGGGTTCCTAAGTGTTTAAGTCCTCTTAGTTTGCTTTTCAAACCAGTGGTGTGGTTATTTATTTAATGTTATATGTTAATAGGACACTCACCAGAGGATGAAGAATGATTCACATTCCTGTTACATAAAATTGTTATGAGGAAGGGTTTCAGGGTCCAAAGGACCAAGTTTAAATGCCCAAGTAATCTGTTAAAGAAATGCAAAGTCGGATGAATATTTAGGCATTCCAGATTCGTGGGAATGACTTAGAAGTATTTACATCTCAGTAAAAAATTTTCTCAATGCATGAATCTTGAAGCTAAATATGATTCTGCTCAGACACAGTGGGGCCAACTAAAGTAAAGAGTCCCTCCTCAGAATGTTTCACCTTCTTTTGTGAGTGTGACTCACTGAATTAATCTTCCTCTTTAATGCATCCTGGAAAATGGATTGTTTTTG